CCTATGGTGCATGCACACACACACATCCTCACCCTACACAAACATACATGTATTAATATACATATACACACACACACACATCTGAAATAAAAATGTCATTAAGTGATACTCTTATCAAATACAATGAACTTGATATTTTCTATTCTATTCTATTCTCTTTCAGTGTTTCAAAAATGTTGGCAAGTTCTGCTAAGTTGATTTCACAGCTCATAATGGGTTACGACTTAAAGTTTGAAAAACATATGACTGGGTGAGGCAAGCACAGGGCAGAGAACACGTAGTTAGAATTTTAATGAGGTCTTATCGCAGGCTGAAAGAAGAGAATGTGGGACGGTCTAAGCTCATCAAGAAACTTCTGGGAAGTTAGCAGGCTGAGAGGTTGGCCCTGCCTGTGGGAGTCAGGTGAGAGTTCAGATCTGCCAAAACCACTCAACACCTAATACCTGGGTTGACTTGCCTAAAGGCCCTGGAGAATTTCCACGAAATCTCTAAGATAGGGAATACTTAGGGGGTCATGGAGGAGAGGAGGGTATTAGTGGCCGGTATCACTGAATGATGCTAGGGGCAAGGGATTGTGGAAAATGCTGCCTTGCTGCATGGCTACAATCTTTGCAGACCTCACAGATGAAGTAATTTACACAGTAGCGACTCAATGCTTCCCGTTTAAAATGCTGAAAGGGCTTCCCATGGCATGTAGGATGAAGGCCAAAATCTTTGCCATGGGCCACAGAGCCTTGCATGATTTGTGCCCCAACCTTCTCTCCAGCTGCTCTCCCTTCCATCTGCCCTGTCCTCTGGACTGTGACATTTTCAAATGCTCCAATCTTTTCCTTGGCCTTCTCTCACACTTTTCCCTTTGCTTGAGCCACTCTTCCTCTGTTCCACATACAACTTAATTTTTGCTCCCTTCAAATGAGATTAGGTCTGCCAGTTAGACCTTTCATACAAGGAAAATCAATTATTTCTGTAAGCATGTATTTAATATAAATTCCCCACTAGACTGTGAACTCCATGAAAGCAGGGGCAGTGTCTGATAAAAAATAAAAACAACTTCTTTACTTGTCTTACTAGAGAATTGCACTCAATTTTCTTTGATAATTTTTTAGAATATCTCTTGAATCTATGTTTATATTATCCTTTTCATTGTAATATTGTTTAGTTTTTCTTTCTTTTGTCCCTAGTCAGTCTTCTGAGGAGTTTACATGTTTTATTGCTCTTTTCAAAGAACTAGTTTTTGGTTTTAGTTATTATTTCTACTATTTCTAGCCACCTTACCACATTCTATTATTAATTCTAGTTGTTTTACTCAAAAAAAAAAACTAGAGTTTTAAGGTTTTTAGTTGTACAATTACAGCACCCACAAATAAAGACTTTTTTCTATCTTCCTTTTGAAGATTTGTATCTACTATTTTGTTTTCATGTCTTATTGCTTTATTTTAGCCTCTAAAACAATGTTAAGAATACTGATGATAGCAAACATCTCTGTCTTGTTCCTGAATTTGGTGGAAAGGGCTTTAGTACTTTTCCATTTTGGATGCCATTTGCTGTGCTGTTTTGAGTAGTTAACATTTATTGTTACCTGAGGGGCCAGTAAGGTTGAATGAAAACCAGAAGTGTCCTGGGAGGCAAGTGAAAAAAAAGGTATTTCAAGAAGATGAGTGATGACCTATGTCAAATGCTGGATAGGTCAAGCAAGATAAAGCCTGAGAACTGATGATTAGATTTAAAGTCACAGAGGTCACTGATGACTTTGACGAGCAGGTTCCATGGAGCAATGACTGGAATGGGTTGAAGAGATAATGGGAGGAGAGGAACTGGGGACAGTGATGGGGGGCAAGTTTTGTTTTGCCAAGATTTGTTGTAAAGGAGAGAAGAAATTTGGGAGAGCAGCTGGAGAGATATGAAATCAAAAGAATTTCTGGTTTTGTTTTCTTTTTTAAAGATGGAAGACATTAAACCACATTTGAAAGCTGCTTATGGCCCAGTGGTGAGGAAAAACTGATCAAAGAGAGAGGGGAGCATTTATAGAATGATGTCTTTGAGTAAGTGAGAGCAGGTGGGATCTTGCCTACAAATGACTTCAGATAGAGCAGGGACAGCTTATTTACAATAAGAGGAGGGAAGGCAGAATATGACTAATGGGGACAGGTGTTGGTAAGGGTCACTGTAGTCACCTCTTGCTTCTTTTTCTCAGCGTACTTAAATATTTCCTAGGTGATTCTAGTGTACGTGTAGGTTTGGAATCAATGGCTTATTGTTAAAACCAAGCAACCCTAAGAGTCTGTTGCTTCCTTCCTCCAAGTCTATGCCTGGTCTTAGATGTCATCTCTCTGCTGGTAAAAAAAGGCATTTCCAAAGCAACCCGGGTGAAAGTGAAGAGGGAGCTACCTCTAGTTTCTAGACCTTAGGTCCCAGGCTGTGAGAACAGCCCCACGTGTGTCTCACCTTCCTAGCTGGACAGGCTGGACACATGAGAAAATAGAAAGGAGAAAGAAAGATAGATGGATAGATAGATAGATAGGGAAACGAGGTCAGACCTTTCCCAAAAGGGAGCAACCCAGGAGAAGGAGGAGGACACCTGGCCCAGCACAGGCTTCTTTATATGCCCCTGCTGTGGGGACTCCATCATCTAGAAGGCATGGTCCAGTCGGTTCCTTAAACACGACCAGCCCTTACCCCTGGGAGAGGTTACATGCAAAATCATTGGCCCTGATGCCAAGTCCTCCTTGGAGTAGAAGGAGCCGGGTGAGGAAAAACTGTGCTTAATAAATCTAAGTTTCCTCTCCTCCTCCACCGAGGCCCAAGTCAAAAATGGTTGTCACAAGAGAAAAATTTGGCCAGCACAATTCATTTAGTCTGTTTGGGCTACAACAAAAGTAGCATAGACTGGGTGGCTTAAACAAACTATTTCTCACAGTTCTGGAGGCCGGGAAATCCAAGATCTAGGTGGTAGCAGATTCAGTGTCAGGCAAGAGCCTACTTCCTGGTTCACAGACCACCTTCAACCTGTGTCCTCACATGGCAGAAGTGGTGAGGGTGCTCTCCGGGGTCTCTTTTACAAGGGCACTAATCCCATTCTCAAGGGCTCCACCGTCATGACCTAATCACCCGCAAAGGCCTCATCTCCAAATATCACCACACTGGGGATTAGGTTTCAACACACGAATTTTGGGGGGACACAAACATTAAGTCTGTATCAACAATATTTTAAAAAATTATATCTAAATCCCCTAGCAAGGCAGGCAGGGCACTTTCCTGCTCAGTGGAGCAGCTCCCTGCCCCCACATCCTTCAGGACCCCTGCAGAAACAACGACATGGTTGGCCTAGTCACCAAAGGTGGGACCCAACTTGTGGGATCTAGTCATAGGCAGTGGGGGACATTTTTTTCCCCCAGAAAAAAAGAAGTCCTAAAATGACCCTGTGACCTTCCCAACCCACGGGTTCTATGTGGTTATTTTCTGCTGACTTATCTCTACCCAGGCAGCGGTTTCTTTAGGAGTCTCCCCTCGAGAGAAAAATAAGGAATAACCTGTCTCCTGATAGCAGCATCCACAGGAGAATGACACCATGTGATACAAACGTGGTGGAGGGCGCCTAGATAAATTTCCCAGTTCCCATTCATTCCCCTGGCATTGTGTGGTAATGGACTCCGATATTAAAATGCATATTTCACACCCTTGTCCCACAGTTTGGAGGAAGGCCATTCACTATGCATGAGCCATTCGCTCATGCTCATCACACAGAGAAAATTACATTTTCCCAGTTGCCAAATGGAAGAGATAAATTATCTCATGCGGACGAGCACATCGCTCCCAGGAGCAGTTTCACAGACCCACGACACTGATCTAAAACACCCAGGAGAGAGACTGGGAGCTTTCCCGGTGTCCTTCTGGGTCTGTGTCTTCATTCTGGCCCACCAGACCCTCAGCCTAGTGGGCTTAATGTGGTAGGACATTTGCCCTTCTGGCTTTTTTGGATAAAATGAGCATCCTTGGAACCTCTCTTTCTAGAAAAGATAAAAATGAATAAATCAACACATTGCATTTCATATTTATGCATACCCACTGAATTGATAATACTTATTTGTAATGAAAATTAAAGAAGCAAAATGTTAAAATGTTCTCTTTGAGGAAGATACATTGGAATGTCTTAGCACAGAAGTGCATATGTCTGCGTGTTACACACTCCCTCCTTATCTCTCCTGTTAGTTTAGGTTAATGAAGGTCCAGAGAACGGATCTAACCTGGAGTGTAATCCTTAACCTATTACCTACATACATACGATTAATAGCAATGGAATCTACATAATAATTACAGCTAACCTTTATTCCCCTTCATATGGCTATCACTGTTCTAACCACTTAATGGATTTTCCAATATGATCCCAAGATTCAAATTTTTATGTTTTTGCCCACGTTTCAATTAGCACAGTTATATGATTCACACATTGATTCTCTCAACAATATTGAGCACGCATTACGCACCTGGAATTGTACTAGGCCCTGGAGGTAGAGGCGGGGGATGAAGCAGAAATAACCGTAGTACATAGCAGACCCTATAAAGCGTCAAAGTGAGGTTCTGGCTCTGAAAGCCTTGGGAGTTGGGAGAAGGGAGGGCTCCTGGGCAGCTAAAGCCACTAGTGACCTCATTATACAATATTTAGGTTATCATATTTTTCTCTGCCTAGAAGAGCGGCTCCTCAACGATTCCACTGGGGTGCACGCAGTTCAGTGATGAGGTTCAGGGACGAACCTAATCGGTGTGGACTGCTTTGGGTTTGCCGGCGGCACCACATAAACACCAGTTATTACCAGTGTTACGGATCTAGTGGCTTCTGCTTTCCTTTTCTCCGGGTTCCAAAGTCTTGGTTCCTTTCTGTTAGTTTTATCCGGGCTGAGCAAATGAGCGCAGACTCAGAGCCCAGCCCGCCCGCTCTGAATCTAGGGCCGGCCCTGGACCGGCGCACGTGCTCTCTGCGCCCCCTCGACCCTCGGTCAGGTCTCCTCTCCAGTCCACCCGGGTCTCCCCTGGCTGGCGCCGGCCGGGAACAGCTCGGCTCCAAACCGGCCACCCGGTCCCCGCCGGCTCCTTCTCCTCCCCCGCACTCCCGCCCCCGGCCGCTGCAGCAGCGCGGGGCTGAACGGGCGGGGAGGTTGGGTTTCGACCGGGGCTCAGGAGGACCCCGCTTCCCGCCGCCCCCAAACTCCCAGGCAGAGCCGGAGCGGCCCCCTCCCCTGGGCAGGAGTGAAGATGGGCTTCTAAGATGACGGTTGGAAAGCGTGCTCCCAGGCAGGAAGGCCAGGCTACCCCGGGATGGGGGCTTGAGTCAGGAAACGCGGGCTCCCGGCCCTCCAGGTGAGGTTGCCTCCGGGGCGGCCGGGGTGGAGAAGGCCGGTCCACACTGCGCGCACTTGGCCCGGGAACGGCGCGGCCGGGCCGCCCGGAGGCTGCAGGAGGGAGGAGCGGGGACAGCGGGACGCGCCGGGGAGGTGGCCGCCCGGGCAGCCCCGGGAGCGCCCGCCGCCGCAGCAGGTGGGGGCCCGGCGGGCCGGGGGCGGGGCCCAGCTCGGGGCGGAGCCGCGGCGGCAGCGAGCGCGGGGCGGCACGGGCCGGGGCCGGAGCCGGAGCCGGAGCGGGAGCCGCGAGCCGGCCGTCCGGGCGCCCGCGGGAGCTCGCCGCGCGCCGGGGCTGGGACCCGCCTGGCCGAGCGCGCCGGCGCCGAGACCGCAGACAAAGGCGCCGCTCGCGCCCGCCCGGCCGCCGCGCTCTCGGGCTCTGCTTTGGGTAAGTGGCTCCCCCTTCGCTTTCTTTCTTCTCCCCGCTGCCTGCTCCTCTCGGAGTTCACCGGGCTCCGGAGAAGCCTGGGGGAAAGGAAGAAATGATACTTCCCCGCTCTCTCTGCAACCCCACCTCACCTTAAAAAAAAAAAAAAAGAAAAGAAAAAACCCGAACAAAAAAAACAAGCAAATACGAAACTAGCGAGTTTCCGCCGAGCGGTGGGATGTCTCCCGCGGGACCGCCGCGGCCGCCCTCTGTGACCTCTTGCTCGGAGGACCGCGCGCGCCGGGGTTGTCCCTGGATCGGAGATCTGGATGGGAAGGTTGCCGCTGGGCTCCCCGCGGGTGTGTGTAGGGGAGGCGGCTATAGGGTCGAGTGGCCGCGAGGGGACCCCACCCCCAGGGACAGTTCGGGGCGGTTCGCACTGCGAGTTCAGATTTAGATCTTGGTTGTGGGGTCCGCCTCAGTTTCCTAGCATCCTCCCCTCCAGCCTCTTTCTCGTCTGGTTCAAGGGTTAATATAGCGCCCCCCACGCCCCACTCGACCCAGGCGCCCACTCTACCCCTCCGCGGCCCCAGCGCGGGGGCTCGAGGCGCGCGGGAGAGCGGGGAGGGAGGGAGCCCCGGCGCTTTCCCCAGCTTGGCAGTCCCGAGCCCCAGTCTGCTGGGGTGGGTGGGCGGGCGGCTGCCAGCAGAGGATCGTGTTTGACATCACAGCTCGGTCCCAGGCCGGCTCCCCCAGCCTCTTCCCGGGCTGCTGTCTGTCAGAAGAGCAGTCGGAAGCCTGGCTGGCTTTTTGCTTTTGTTCTGCCCGCAACTCTCCGGAATCGGAGGAGAAGCCCGAGTGGGCGGATGCCCCGGGAGGGGGCCGTGGCGGGAGCTCCAGGTGCAGCCCCGAAGTGACAGTTGGAGGCGGCGGCCGTTTCCCGCCTCTGGGTGGGAATGGATCCCGATCGCTAATCAATGCCGGGGAGCTGGCCTTGGGTCCCCGGCTCCCGAAGGAGCGTGGTGTCGCCGCGGCCGCGCACTGTCACGCGCCTCTCCAGCACTCTCGAAAGCGCTGCCTCGAGACGCGCATTTCCATTCATGGACCTCTGCCTGCGGTTTGATTAATGTCACCTCTGCCCGGGTTCTCTAAAGAGAGTCTGTTACTATTCGATTTAGTAGCCGTTTACCGGGGGGCCTACTATGTGCAAGGCAGCAGTCCTAGGATCATCTTTATTTAAAAGATGTTTATTGCGCACCGACTATGTGCAATGCCGATGTTACAAACTTTTCAATTTAGTAAATATTATTGAGCACCTGTTATATGCACAACTGATGTGTCGTGACCTTCTCAACTTAACAGATATTTATCGAGTGCTTAGCTGTGCTATGACCTTATTTTAATAGATTTTTACAGAGCACCTACTGAGTACAAGGGGCTTTACTGCTGAAGGGTTGCCCAGTGTGCTTTGGAGGGCATATGGAGATGAGGGAGAGAGAGTTTGTCTTCAGACCCTTGAGTCTTCAGTTCCTTTAGTAACGGCATTTTCACCTTTCTGGCCTGCTTGTTCTGTGGTGGAGAAAGAACTTGAGGGTTTGTCAGAGGGGAGCAGGGCAAAAAGCAAAAATAAGGAGAAGGCCTTGGACCTCTTTCCAATTCAGTTTCCCAACATTGAAAAAAGAAGAGGGCAGTAGCTTTGTGCAAATCAAGGTGTGAGGTATTGCAGGAAATCTAAGGTTAATCAGGCAGAGCCTTGACTCTCAAAGGGACGGAGAATCTACGGTGGGGGCAGAAAGACAGACAGAAGGACAAGCGACTAAACGAGGAAGGAGGGGAAAGCAAGAAGATAGGGCTGGCATGGACCTTCCAGCCCCTTAGCTCCAAATTGGCCCCAGTGGTGTGGGGTGAGAGTATCTTTAGTAATCCTAGCACTGCGAGTGGCTGGGGACCTGCAGGCAGAGTCAAACGGTCTGAAGGTCCTTCTGCTAAGAGATTTGATGACTCTATTACTCTGATACCCTGGGGGTCCTGAGACACACTGAAATATCCAGATTGGCAAGAAAACCATGAGTCCTCAGTCTACTGGCAAATATTTGAGCGCTTACAGTGTTATATATAGGCTGTTATCAGAGAAATGTCGTCTAAGATGTGGTCTTCGTCCTAAAGGACCTAACAGAGTTCTTGAGATAAACACATAAAATGACTACTTGGGCAGCATACATGAAAAATCAGTGAAGATTCCTCCTAGAATTTAATGTCAAGAAAAAAAATTCTGTCCTCATAGAATTGTGTCTTTCCTTTTGTCAGTGAGAACTTGCTGTCTAGCGTGTTTCACCGTGGCTTGTAGCAATTCCTGGTAACTGCTTCATCCCAGCTTCTTGGTACAGTGATCTTTTTCTTCCTACCTTATTTCTGGTCTCCTTTTAAAATTCTTTTCTAACGACATTATATTATTTTTTGTTATGAACTTGAGAGCCCCCTCAAATCTTTTCTGGATGTAGGTCTATTACAAAAGCTATGTGGGAAATATGGTAAACACCAGCTGAATGACTTAGAGGTCCTGTACTTATAAGAAGAGGGGAAGAAAAGCCAATGAAGGCTGAAATCAGAATATGCAGAGAAAACGTAAACTGGCCTGGCAAGATGAAGTGGCATTCAGATAGGCAAAGAAGACGAACCAAGACTTCCCTCCCAAATTGAGGGAAATGGTGTGGACACAGGCGTGAAGGGAAACAAACCCTCTTTAGAGGGTTGTAGGAATTTGGTAGCTCTTCATCTAGAAGCGTTTCCCTCCATTCAACAAAGAGGTGCTGCTGGAGCATCTTACTATGTGTCCGTGACTTTGTTAGGTGTCAGGTGGGGGGCTCCACCCAGCACAGTTTGGGGTTCTCTGTGATCCCACAGCTGGCGAGGACCCTTGTCTGCTGCTCCGGCTGCAAGATAGCACTGCATCCTAACATTCTTTCAGGCATTCCTGGAGTTTTTTCACCTGAGCTGAACTTGATGATGATAATCTCCTTCAAGGCTGAGAATGTGACTTTTTTTCTTCGCATCTTGCCCTCCCTGCAGGCTCAGGCATGGTCTGTAGAGCACGGGACATTTATTTCAGAACCCTGTATTGCCATTTCTCCACTCTTTCCCTGCCTCATCAGGGCCTGTCCTCGCTTCCTCTCTACCGCTTTGAGCTGCTTGGAACCTTTACTGTACGAAAACTCAGGGGAAATCACTCTGTCCTCAGTCACTTTCTCTTGAATATGCATATAGGTCACTGTTCTTTCTTTTGGGGGTCTTTGCACTTTACGCCTCATTATGGAGTGTAAGGCTTTGTCTACCGTGAGAGGATTTCAAGCACAGACAAGTTGGCATTGGAGGTAATTGGGGAGGCAAAATGCCTTTCGTGGTACTCCTGAAATTATGCTGCCACCTCCTGATGTAGCCACTCTTGGCAAGTGTCCTCGCAGTCCCGTGGTCTATAAAATGGAGCCTCATTGCTTTTTATCACGGGGCGGTGGCTGAAGTCAGATAGCAGCCCTGCATGAGCTTCTTGTCAACCTGGCCTTCGTGTGCTCTACTCCAAGGTTTAAAGGTTAATCCTTTTCCAGAAGGAATCCTTGCTGCTTTACTTACATTCTTTTGAGGCGGGGATTCTCAACCTGGGCACTGTTGATGTTGTGGGCTGGATAATTCTTTGTCATGGGGGGCTGTCTTGTGCATTATAGGATGTTGAGCAGTATCCCTGGCCTCTACCCACTACATGCCAGTAGCACCCACACCCCAAGCTGTGGCAACCAAAACTGTCTCCAGCTATTGCTAAATGTCCCCTGAGGAGTGAAAAATCACCCCTTATTGAGAACCACTGTTCTAGGGGTATTGGTTAATATGTATCATGCTATATAACTCTTCCCACTTTTCTGGAAGAGGCCTTATTTAATGCAACTTGGTTCTTTTCAATAAAAGTGACTTAGTAAATGTGTTATTAACATTGTGCAACTTTCCATATGAATAATTTCATAAATCAAAATAAACATCCTTTGTCAGGTCACATATCCTAATCTGGTCATCATATTAAGTCAATCTTTTGAGGCAAACCCCCCACAAAACTAAAATTCTTCCTCTAGCACGTGGCTGATTTATATACCAGAAATGTGGGTAGTAGGATCATCACTGGCAACCACTGGCAACCACCGTTGCCCACGGGGTCATCTCAACCCCCTGCTTTGGCAGTGGCTGTTGGGCAGCAGTAGGGGAGGGAAGTGGCAGGGGAAAATCCAGTTTTGGTGGGATATTTGAGGGGTCCTCTTTAAGAAAAAGACAAACTGATCAGGTGAACACGTTGCTAGGCCCCCTCCCAGGCCTGGAAGGGTCCAGTGCAAGTGAGGGGCTCTGAGATTTCAGTCTCATTAGCTTCAAGTAAAGCTGCCTCTGGGAAAGGTTTTGAGAAGGAGTAGGAAAGTAGGGACTTTCTTTTACCTATGACTGGCAAGAGCTAAGAGAAGCTTCTCAAAGACTGGATCAAAATAGAATTGTTAAATACAGGGCAGCCTGAACTTCTGTTAATATCTGCCGTTAAAAGTAGGGACTTCCATATCTTC